TGCCCACATCCGTCCTTGATGTGGGAACCCTTGCCGGAAACGATGTGTTGCCGAATAAATTGGTAGTCTATTTCGATATGCTTTGTCCGGGCATGAAAGACAGGATTCTTGGCTATGGCTATAGCCGAGATGTTATCACAGTGAATGAGAGTTGGAGAAGTCTATGCTAGTTGGAGCTCCTCGGCTAGACGGCGAAGCCAAATAACCTCCGACGTTGCAGCTGACAGAGCACGGTACTCCGCTTCAGTAGAAGATTTGGCAACGGTGACTTGTTTCTTGACTGACCATGAGAGGAGGTTCGGTCCCATGAAAGTGCAGATGCCGGAAATTGACTTGCGATCGGCGATGTCCGCTGCCCAATCAGCATCTGTGTATGTCTGGAGGGATGTGTCGCCGGGCGTGATCGGTAAACCAAAGGATGATGTTCCTTTGATGTAGTGTAGTATCCGTTTGAGTTGTATGAAATCAGCAGTGGTCGGAGTTTGCATATGCTGACAGACTTGATTGGTGGCGTACGCGATGTTCGGTCGAGTAATCGTAAGATACTGAAGAGATCCGGTGAGGCGTCTGTACATGGAAGGATCGTGAAATAATTCGGTGGATTGCTGCGGGTGTCTGGTAGCCGGTGTGATGGGTGTCGGACACGATTTGCAGTCCGTGAATCCTGCTTCCTGTAGGAGCTTGGAGGCGTAGTGTTCTTGATGAAGAAAAAATCCAGTGTTAGTGCGGCTTATCTGAATGCCGAGAAACAGATTGATCTGTCCCAGCTGCTTGAGAGCAAATTGAGAGCGGAGGTCGTGGAGTAGATTGTTGATCTGTTTCGAGCAATTTCCTGTAAGAAGAATATCATCCACGTAAATTAGAATGTAAAGAAATGTTTGATTGTTGTTGTAGATGAGCAGAGAAGGATTGGCCGAATCCACGAGTTTGTAAGAAAGATGTGATTTTCTGAAACCATTGGCGGGGTGCTTGCTTGAGCCCGTATAAGGATTTGTCAAGTTTGCAAACTGCGTTTGGTTGAGTTTGATCTTCGAATCCGCGTGGTTGAGTTATGTAGACGTCGTCCGGTAAATCGCCATGTAGAAAGGCGTTAGAAACATCGAGCTGAAGAATTGGCCAGGTTCTATTGACAGCAAGCGTGAGTAGCATACGGATGGTGGTCATGCGAGCAACCAGACTAAACGTTTCATTGTAGTTTTCACCCAAGACTTGTTCATATCCAAGAGCGACTAACCGAACTTTGTAACGGTCTACTTGGCCTGAAGGTTTGAGTTTGGTCTTATAGGTTCATTTGCAGCCTAACACTCGGTGATTGAGAGGTTTTGGAACCAGAGTCCATGTCCGTTGTTGTAGCAGAACTTGATATTCCTCTGCCATTGCGTCTTGGCAATGCTTGAGTTTAGAAGCTTGATTGTACGTGGTAGGGGTAGTGGCGTGGCTGGTGTTGCTTAGGAGAGAAAGGAGCTGACGAGGTTTGGAGATACCCGACTTGGATCGTGTTTGCATAGGATGAGTGAGTCTGGCCGCAGGCTGAGAGCATTGTAAGTTGATTGCGGGGGCCATGTCTGCTGATTTCGGGAGAGCGTCAGCCGTAGTTGTGGACGTAGTATTAGGAGGAGGTTGCTGGATGTTGATCTCTTTATTGATGTGGTCCACAGAGGTCGTAGTGGCTGAAGGCGGTACAAGAAGGGGTGATAACTGAGTAAAGTTAGGCCTAGTTGAGGGTTGAGTGACAGCAGTATTCGGACGGAGCGGGAAGACGAGTTCTTGAAATTCAACATGACAGGATATATACATTTTGTGAGTGATGGGATCATAACATTTGTACCCCTTGTAATTAGGAGAATAGCCCAAGAATATACAAGGTTGTGATCTCGGGGAGAATTTAGTGGTGGTGTGAGGTTGAAGCCATGGGTAACATAGGCACCCAAAGGTTCGTAATTGAGAGTAATCCGGGGTTATGTTGTGTAGCATTTGGTAAGGAGATTTAAAAGATAATGCCGTCGTGGGGAGGCGATTAATTAAGTAATTGGCTGTAGACACAACATTATGGGGACATCGTCAGAGATTGCGACACATGTACCA